TGCCCAGCCATCTTTCCTGTTTTAGGAAAAGTAGCGCGTGTTTGCAACAGAGTAGTTTTCTCAGTTTGCTTCTTTCTTGTAGAATTTGGTAATTCCAAGGCATCTTTTCATTTGTACTATCTCAGCCTCTTTCATTCCAAGCTGGTCATATTTCTGCTGATATAATTAGTTTAGATATTTAGTGGTTCTCCTGAGAATATTAATGAGGATTCATGCCATTAGACTAAGGCCATACTTGCAAGTCTTTTTAATATAAACACTTCTCTACTTTGGGCTTCTGCTGAGATACAACACCCTTAAGCTTCTTAGAATCCCTATTGTTTGATCAAGAGGATCTGTTCATCATATCCTTAAAATCTTAAGAGGCTTTTTGCTTAACTGAACAATACTGTAAGGTGCCACCTTTAAGCTTTCTGAAATTTTAAAAATGGACTTTATAGACACACCCTTGACTTAATCTTCAGACCAGGTTTCCCTAGCAGTATCCCAGATTTGATGTTTTAATTTTAATATCATTAAATATTAATATCATTTGCCATACAGAGAGTTTGGGACTCTTCAAACCTAGCTCCTTTTTGTTTAACAATCCTTCCATTAGTTTATCCCTCTTTCTTGCATTTTTACTATAAGAAGCAAGAAGAAACAAGGTGGCATCTTCAGGGATGGACACATGATCCAAGCTGAGCCAATGAAAGACAGCCCTGAGAATGTAGATTTTCATTGGGAGTACAGATGTGATAGAGTGAGGGCCTGAAGCTTCTAATGGTCACTAGTGTCTAATGTCAGTATGAGGGAAGAGGTTTCTCAGAAAGCAAGGCAGAGGAGAGCAGAGCCAAAACAGGGTGATGGGGAAAAACTGGAAATCTCCTTAACTTGATCTCCCAGTTCATTAGGTACCTTTTCTACCACCCACACTACTACAGGCGGCATTATTACTAAACCTTCTGCTACTGTACAAAAAAATCTCCTTTTATCCAGTTTCCAGTAAGATTTTCCTTGCTGTCCTTGAAGTCCTCATTGGCAACCTTCTTGAAGGCTGTAATGCTACAACTAGTGTGTTCAAGACATTTTCAGCTTTCACTAGTACTCTCTTCAAAATCCTTTCAGCTCTTCCAGCTTCTACTCACTTCCTGGTTCCAAAGCAATTCCAACATCTTATATTTTTACTGCATCAGCACCCCGCTCTTGGTACCAGAATCTATATTAGTTATTTACTGCTGTGTAACGAATTGCCAGCAAATTTATCAGCTTAAAACAACAAACATTTGTTATCTCACATAATTTCTGAGAATCAGAATTCAGGAAAGGCTTAGTGGTGTGGTTCTTGCTTAGGGTCCCTCATGAGGTGGCAGGGAAATCATCATTAAAAGTCATAGTCTCTGAAGACTTGACTGGGGTTGGAAGATCCACTTCCAAGCTTATTCCTTTGACTGTTGACCAGAGACTTCAGTTTATCACCTCATAAGACATTTTATAGAGCTGATCACAACATAGCTCCCTCCAGAGCAAGTGATCAGGGGGTGGGAGGAATGAGAGTGGAAACCCCACTGTATTTAAGACCTTGTCTCCAAGTCACACACCATCACTTCTGTCTTATTCTATCATTAGAAGGAAGTCACTAAGTCCAGCCCACACTCAGGAGGAGAGAATGAAGTTAGGACATGATTTCGAGAAAGCAGGTTTTACTGGGACCCTCTTGGAGTCTGGCTACCACAGCAAATTACTAAACCTCTCTTGTGTGTCCTTAATGTCCTTACCTGTAAAATATACAACTAATAATTAGCATTTAACTCACATGGTTGCTGTGAAGTGGAAGGAGAGAATATACATAAAGCTCTTTAACATAATATCTGGCACCAAGCAAAAAATGTAATATATATTGGCTCTTATTATTGTTTTAACCACATGAATGGCTCTCAAATATTTTTCTTAGTGCTCAGGGCACTTGATATAGTGCTCAGAGTTCTACTTTTTTGACTATCTGGATGACTTCCAGTAACTTAACATATATGTCCCAAAACAGCATCTTTGTGGGTTTTTTTTGGGGGGGTGGGGGTGTTGAGACAGGATCGTTCTCTGTTGGCCAGACTGGAGAGCAGTAGCATAATAGCTCACTTCAGCCTCCAACTCCTGGACTCAAGTGATCCTCCCGCCTCCACCTCCTGAATAGCTAGGACTACAGGTATGCACCACTGCACATGGCTAATTTTTAAATTTTATATAGAGATGAGGTCTCAGTATGTTGCCCAGGCTGGTCTTGAATTCCTGGCATCAAGCAATCCTCCAGCCTCAGTGTTCCAAAGTGTGGGGTTTACAGATGTAAGCTACTGTGCCCAGCTCATCTTTGTATTCATCAAGTCTCTTTTGTTTCACTGGCTTAAGAAAAAAAAGAAAAAGGAAAATTTAAATGCATAGATAGATTTCAAGAAAATCTGGTTCCCAATGATCCAATGATCCCATTAGGAATCTGTCTTCACGACCTTCTTCGTCTTTTCCCAATGCCCTCTCTTGGTCCAGCTCCCCTCTATCTTGGTTCCCTTCTCAGAAAGCTCTTTCCTCATCCTGACAAGATGGTCATTGGAAGCTTCATGCCCCCATTTTATCAGCTCTGTACCCACATTGAAATGAGAGTTTCTGTATTCTAATATTTTTATCCAGAGTCTCAGGGCTGTCTTTCATTGGCTCAGCTTTGATCATATGTCCATCCCTGAATCACTACTGGTGGCACCATAGTGCATTGGGGAGGTCATTGAAGAAATCCTAGTTTCCCTATAATATTTATCATCCCCCATCCTTTGATGATTTCCAAACTTTACATAAATCTCTTGCAAACATAGCTTAAAGTTCCACCCTCCCACCATTACACCAGAATTCATAAGCAATTCTACATGAAAATTGTAGAGCCATCCCTGATGATCTGGGAGATAGAATGTTCTGATTAGTTAAGCCTAGGTCATGTGTCCACCCATTGAGCCAAAGAGGATATTAGTTACACCTGAAGCTCATGAACTGAGAATGTGGGGAGGGCTGTATGCTTAGAAGAAAATGAAGTACTGTGGCCAGAAGCAGGTGGGAGGGATGCCAGGAAGGCAAAAATCAACAGATGCCCATGTTAATTACCTTCCCTCCCAAATCCATTCCTTTTCCTGTGTTTCATCCTTCAGTAAAGGTCAACTCTTGGACTGACAACTTGCAAGTCACCTCTGACACCTTCCTGTGCCCTGCCATGAGCTTCTAGACTGATGCCATGTTCTTCTGACTCTACAGCTTTATGGGCCCAGAACGTGTTCTCTGGCTTCCTTCTTTCCTGCCTCTGTTCATATGGTTCCCTCTACCTAGAATACCCTCCCAACTGCATCTCTGCCTGGCTAGTAACACAAACCCTAAAGGGTGGCTCAAGAACACCACCTCCATGAAGCCCACTATTGATTTACTAGAAGGAGTCAAATTAGTCACTAATTTATAGAAAGGTAGTGCTGGGTTCCACTTTCAGTTGGGAGCTGCTTTCACAGTTAAATATAGCTTAAACCAAGACCTCTGGAAACAAATACAGGCTAGAAGCTGGTCCCTTACCTTTTCCCTCTCTCCTCTCTCCTTACGTTCATTTTCTTTCACACAAAGCAATTGCTTTGCAAATGCCAAATCGCGTAAATGCAGCCAGAAATTAGGCATTAGGAGAATGTTTTTAAAATTTCACATCTGTGTCTGAATTTGTGAAACCTCACTGAAGTTTATGAAAGAACCATTTCATTTTGTTTTCTTTCCTTTTTTTGGCTTCAATTCGGATTTGATGGATCTCTGTCACATTAGCTTGAAGAGGACCTCTGTTAATGCATTTAAATCTTGACCTACACACCCTGGTGGGTGGATAATTCCCAGCTGAGCTGTGACTGGAGCTCTACGTGGGGAGGACTTGGCCTCAGCATACCTTAGGGACAAAGCTTGTGACACAAGACACTCTTTAACTGGGGTAACTTTAGCTGGTCTCTTGAAGTGGATATCAGGTTTATTTGGAAATCTGCTTTACTTCTCTTCGTTTTTCTCCTGAAGATCTCCATCTCTCCCTTTTGGTTTTTTTTTTTTTTTTTTTTTTTTTTTTAATAAAATATTTTTTTCGTGGACGAGGTTCTGGGGCCCCAAGAGCGGGGCCCCGGAAGTCGCCCCCTTTTGGTTTTAAGTACAACATTATCTTCTGATTTTCTTCTTTAAGTATTCAGCAACTTAAAAACAGTAGCATAACACATAACACACACACACACACACTCACGCTCACTCACAATGAGACTGATTTTAAAAGTGACCCCTAACCCGTCTAACTTCAGCAAAGTTGCCAAGTCAGAGAGGAGCCTTCAAAATAACTTTTATGCTGGGACCTTGGCCTGTCTGTGCTGACAGTTTCACATTCCAGCTTGTCATTTGTCCCTGACTTACTTTCCCAAATGCTTCCATGGAGTTATGCCACTTGTCACCTGCCTAGTATGTGACACTTCATCTGCCAAGACAAATGTCATATTAGAAAAGCCTTCCAGTGAATGAAGGCAATACAGGACTGCAACACAAAACATTTGGGCTTTTTCTTTTAATACACTTTCTAATTCTGCTTTCCAGATCTGGCCTGTTGCTGGGGCTGGTTGGAGTTTTACTCTATGTGGGCATCTTATGTTTAAGTTACAGAGATGGATCCCCTAATAAATGGGTACTGATTGGTAGGACATACTGCCCTGAAATTCAAAAACCTTGACAGTAAATTTGATCAAAAGAAGTGGCAGTGATTAAAAACAAACATTCACAAATGTTATGGAGCTACCAAAAATAAGGTCATTGGATTTTCGGGACGCCTCTATAGACTTCTTATAATATTTTTCTAATTGAGGGAACTAAGTTCTTTTGAAAGTGAGAAGCTGACAGCTTTGGTTAAGGCTAGAAATAGAAGGCAAGCACTGGTGTGCCTTAATTGTGAGATTTTATAGTTGTTAACTGTTTCTACTAATTCATTTCAGAGCTGGGTTACAGCCTTTTTACACCCGCCGATCCTCTCAGAACCCATGTCTCAGAGTGAAGATTACTGTCTCCAGATTTGGTAAAAATCTTAAAATTTCTATTCATGTCATGGATTTGGCCTTGCAGGTGAAAAAAATAGCTAAATGATTAAGTCTCAGTGTCGACATTCCTAGTCAAGTCCAACCTCCCCCACACCCAACAACAAACAAAACCCAAATCCCATCTAGCATGAAGTTCTTTGACAGTTTTAATTTTCAAAGATGTAACTTTTCATTCCACAGAGGGGAAGGGAGTTGGGTTATAGCATGAGTTCATACAAACAAGTCAAATCCATGGACATAAATTTTCATGGCGTTTAAAAAGGCAAATCTGATCGTGTTACCCTCCTGCTTAGCATGCTTCAAAGACTCTCCGTACGTTTCGTGTTTAAACCCAAATGACATAGCTTAGCTCCCCAGAACCTGCATGAGCTGACCTCTGTCCCAGCCTCTGACTCAGCCCCCTCTCCCTGCCCCCCATGCAATCCCTATGGCCCGCTGGTCAGAACCAATGGCCATTTCCCAACCTGTGCCTATGCACACACTGTTCCCTCTGCTGGCAGAGCCATCCTCATTTTCCTTCTTCACCTGCTCTACTCTTGCTTGCTCTTGCAGCCTCTCACCTGCCCCACTTCCTACCATGCCTTACTCCCTGACACATACACACACACCCCCCTCAAGCAGCTCCTGAGAATCCTATTTAGGTCCTCTTCCTGGGATGTCCTCAGCAACCTCTTTTTCCCTGTATGTATCTCACAACAATAGCCTTATTTGTTTCCCCTCCTAAACTGAGACCCATACCTCATTTATATATCTCCAGCTCCTAGTTCAGTCCCTAACACAGAATAAGTGCTTAATAATTTTTATCAAATTAAAAGAATAATTAAATTGCCCATTTCCATTTTTGGAACACATGGTGTCTCAGAATGCCCTTCGGTGCATTTTGGATCAATGAGTCCTATGATAGAAAGAAGAGATGGCTCTAAGGCTCTCAAAAGGACTTTCTAATACAGAAAAAAGTACAGGGCAGCCCAGGAGATTGGGTGACCAGGATATAATTAACCGTGAGCCAGACACTGTCCTGGGGCACTTTAGCATATATTTTCTCACTTAATCTTCTCGACAACTTTTCAGTGTGAGTCTTGTTTTCCAAATTGTATGGAAGAATGAACCATCCAAAGCCAATGCAACCAGGAAGCTTTAGAGTTGGGATTTATTTCCAGACATTTATGATTCCAAAATCTGGCTCTCTTTTCACATAGGAAGGATGCCTGACTCCCTCTTCTTTCTCTAGGAGGATCTAGGTGAGGAGAACATTTCCAGTTTCTGCCTTTTGAAAGAAATGAGTGCAGATTATTGAGACCTACAAGAGCCTATGTCTGACTGGGGATGGAGCATGAGATGGTCCTGACATTCCCTAACCCCTAAATTGACTCATAAAGTTCAGATTCAGAGAAGGAGGTTGACCTAGAGATGCTGGGGAGAAACTGGACCAAAGATAAACTTTGGACAAATGTTTTTAATTTCGTTTAGGTCTCTATAACCCACGACATTGTTTTCAATATATACTAAATACAATAATTGTATTGGCATTTCATTTTTGGCTAGTTCAAGTTGCAGATATTATTTAATAACGTAAATAAATGTGTCCCTTCATATTGGATGCATCATAGACACATTTTCTGAGTTTCAGAGTACAGTGAAGAGCAGAATTAAACAGGTGCACTTCCGCCTACATGACTGTTTCTGCTACAGTAGCACCAGTGAGCTTTGGTTAATGACCATGATTCCAGTAACCTATCCAGTCTGTCTCTCTCGGGCACATTAGCACTGCCCTTTCTCCCCAGGGCAGTCCACTCCGGTCCACTGGAGTTTGTGAAACCAGCTGCATCTTGGCAAGCCCTGGCCTGAGATTAACTCGCAGGGAGGTTATTCTGAGGCTTCTCTGACTCATAACTTTGGGGCTAAGTGAGCACCAAGTCCCAGCCCTGCCCTCTTTTGCTTTTTTTTCTGTGCTGATTCACACTGGGTTGGGACTTTATTGTCAGCAGTCATAATAGTATATGGGTGGAACTTGGATTTTAACGATGACAAGAGGCCAAGTCTACGGCTTCTGCTAGCTTTGTTATTAACTGTGTCATTTTTATTAATTGAGAAGAGGAAGGAAGGAAAGAAGGGAGGATAGGAAGTAGGGAGAAAGGAAGAAAAAGAAAAAGAAAGAAATATCTCACCAACTCAAGCTGACATCTGTTCTGTTCCACCCTCTGTATTTTCTCCACGCCTTTGGAAAGGCTTGTCCTACATGTAGTTCACATGAGAGGAAGCTAGACATAGTAGAAAGAATATAGATTTTGGAGTCAGCATATCTAGGTAATTGTGTGATCATGGGCAAGTCATTTAAAATCTTTGAACCTCTGTTTCCGCATCTGTAAAATAGCAATAATAATATATACTTTGTAGGGTTGTCATGATGGTTAGGAATATTGTATATAAAGTGCCTGGTATGTTAGAAAGCATTTAATAAATGGCAGATATTATTGTTAGAGCTATTTTTATTAAGAGGCCCTTTAAGTAGTGAGAATGTAGCCTCACAGAGTTGAATGTGAGTTTAAATTTCATTCCTCTGAAACTGTGGCAGATTGTTCTATGCTCCCTTGAAGTGGGGCCTGGTGGAAATTTATCAAGTTCAGGTGTAACGTGGCATCAACTTTGGAGCAATACTACCTGGTTCAAATCTGAGCTCAATGCACTACTATATGCCTCATTTTTTCATCTGTGAAATGGGTATAATAGCTTCCTTATTTATACTTATTACATACATTTGTTATGAGGAATACATTTGAGTTAGTATATGTAAAGCATTTAGAACATTGCTTAGCATATGGTCAAGTACTGTATAAACATATATTAAATAGATAAATACAGAAGTCAGTGCTGAGACAAGAACAGAAAGGAAAACCAGAAAGATAAAAAAAAAAAATTGGTTGACTCTGGACCAGAATGGGGCATAAAGTACAAAAGCAGTGGTGGAGCAAGTGCTTCCAAGACAGTTGCCCTAAGTAGAGCTGAAATAGTCATGTTCAAGTCACCTTTCTTTTCTTTCATTTTTTAAAACTGGCTGCAGGAAGTGAAGTGCGGGTGATGCGTCAGCCTGAGTTAAAGACCAGGATGTGGGTGGGCACGGTCCTTCCACTTTGCCATGGACTCGGGAAAATGACTTGGCATCACTGTAACAGCAAGTCCTGCTCCCTAAGCTTCCCAGGCCGATGCCTGAGAGTGGCTCTAAGTCTAAACCTTTTCTGCAGGGTGCACTTGCTCAGGGAAGGCTCCCTCCCTGGGGAAAGGCCACTGCTTCCCAGAGGCCCGTGGCCATTTCCAAGGCCAAGTTAACTGAGTTGATGGGAAACCCTGGCGACTTCTGCTTCTTCTGCTGTCTGACTTTGGTGCACAAACGGGACGTAAAATATTCAAATTCCAGTGATAGAGCCAACTGTGCAAATTCCTGACAGGCACATTGAGGCCCATTATCTGTAATTACAGTCGCCCGAATTCCATGCCAGCGAGACCCTGTTTTCCAGCAGTCAGCGATAGCAGCTGCTGCTCTGGTGCCAAATGCATTCAGGGAAAGTCCCAAGAATGGAGATGAGCAGCCCTTCGCAGGGTATTCCTGCGAATGTCTTCTCCCTAACAACCTTTCACGAAAGCCCTACTGAATTATTTATTTATTTTTATTTTATTTTTTCAAGACGGGGTCTCACTCTGTCACCCAGGGTGGAGTGCAATGTTGTGTAGTGTTGCATAGCTCACTGCAGCCTCAAACTCCTGGGCTCAAGTGATCCTCCCCCCTCAGTCACGCAAGAAGCTAGAACCACATCAAGCTAATTTTTAGGTTTTTTGTAGAGCTGGGGCTCTCACTATATTGCCCAGGCTGGTCTCGAACTCTTGGCCTCAAGCAATCCTCCCACCTCAGCCTCCCAAAGCATTGGAATTATAGGCGTGAGCCCCTGTGCCCACCTGAATTACTTGTTTATCATGAGCAACCCAATTTCTGATTCCATCACATTGCTCTTCATTAAGGTGCTTCCCCATATGTGATTTAGTTCTTTGGCCTAGAACTACCTCATCACCAACTCAAACTTATCCTTGTGCCATCTTCTCTTCTCTGAGAAGCCTTCTCTGACTTCCTCAGGCTGAATTTTCTTTCTTTTCTCTGGGCTCACAGAGTGCCTGTGCTTGTACAACAGCACTATCATTCTTTGTTTGAATTTTGTCTCCCCAACTAGACCACAAGTTCTTTGAGGGCGGGGGCCACATTTTGTTAGATTTTCCCAGAACCCAGAACAATATTCAGCATCACTGGGCATCCATCCGATGGATGCTGGTGGCATGAATAAGTGACATCTTTCTTGCTTTAGAACTAATGAAATCATTCTTTCACTTGTTTAGATCGAAGATTTCTATCAGGGATTACTGCTCAAACTTACTCTTGAAATCAACCAAGAAAAACCCATGTAGAAGATCTCATTGATATACTGAGTATACACTCAACTCACCACATGCCCTTCTATTTTTAATGCTGTTTAACAAGATTGGGTTCCCTAGATATGTAATAGTGCATAAAGACTTAATTAACCTTATTACTTCTGTTTTGTTATGCTACTCTATTGAGGCTTTATTTAAACATGATTTGGTGCTAGTCTGTTCGTAGTTATTAATAAAGTCTAAAGATTTGTATTTAATTTCTACTCATAGCATTACTTAAAGTATAACTATTAAGAAATGTCTATTTGAAACAGAAGGTCAAAAATATATTTATCTGAATTGCAAGGCTAGCCATCTCCAAAATAACATTGTGGCTATCTGAAATACTTTTGGGTCTCTACTCTTTTTTCTTTCAGAAACAGTGGATGATCCTTGCTTGAAGAGTGGTTTTGTTACTTTAAAACCCAAAGCTATAACAACAAATCATCCAGTAAAATATCCACCTTATTTAACTTACAGAAAGAGTGCTGAATATGCACACCATTAACTGGAAGTCAGATATGTTAGGTAGTATACATATTTTAATTAAAAAAGTAATAGTTTCATAATTATTTTAATGTATATAACTATATAGTTATATAGTTATCATATATATATTTGTGATAAAAACAGAAAACCCATAATTTCATGGATATTGTTTAAGGAAAAGCTAAACTTATTTAAGTAAAAATACAGTGAGTTAATTTGCTGAGAAATGTTAAACAACAATCCAGTTTATGAAGATAAGACAAATATCATAAAGAAGGCACATAAATGATTAAAGTGTGAGGAACATTGACCAAACAGCAGAGGCTCTTTAGTCCCAGTTATTTCACTTATTATCTGGGAGCCTGGGGACAAGTGAGGTGACCTGTCTGAGCCCTCCTGGCTCATCCCTTCAGTGAGAGTGAGTTGCAGTGGTGATCAGAGATAAAGTTCATGGTGGAATCAGCACAGTACCTAAAGGGCTCCATAGGGAGAGTTTTTTTTTTTTTTAATCTCAGCCACTCTCATAGGACAAAGATATTGAGTCTACTTTAAAGAAGTTGCCAGCAGCTTGAAAGGGAAACCCAGGGACATTTCATTAAATGTGATGAGCAAAGGGTGGCAGCTCAATGGTTGCTTTGAAGGCTCAAGGTATTCATTTGATCCTATTCATGTGGGCATGTTGGTTAAGGCACCAATCACATAATGAAGGAGTCAAGGAGTCACACCTTATATAATGCTAAATAACTGATGCTACCCTTGAACTCTAGGAGTTTCTCAACTCTAGACATTAAGCCAATGAGAGTCTGTCCTTTCTTGACCCTTATAATCAGTCTCTCAATCTCTCTCTCTCTCCCCCCTGGCCAATTGGAAGCTCAGTACTAAAACTCTGTATTACCTTATGAACTACATGCTCATCCCACTCACCTACACCCCCTACACTAAAGTACACTTCCCTTGGTCCCAATATTTTTAAATCTCATCTTAGTAATTTATCACACAGATTCTCATTTTTTATGTGTTTGATGAGAAAGGGAGAGTATCTATGTGTCTTAGTCAGCTCAGGCTGCCATAACAAAATCATATAGAGGGGGCTTAACAGTACAAATTAATTTTCACATAATTCTGGAAACTGGAAGATCAGGGTACTAGTATGGTCAGGTTCTGGTGAGGGCTCTTTTCCTTTGTCCTGCTCTGCCCTTACATGGGGGCAGGGTGGGGAGAGAGAGAAAGAGAGAGCGAGCGTGCGCAAGCTCACATACAAAAGCTCTCTGGTGTCTCTTACAGTGGCACTAATCCCATCATGATCTCCCCACCCTCATGACCTCATCTGACCCTAATTAGCTCCCAAAGGCCCCATCTCCAAATACCATCAAACTGGGTTTGGGGATTCAACATATGAAATTTTGGGGGGATACAACATTCAGTCCATAATAAAAATCATGTCGTCTTTTTCCAGGAGCTACCAATGTATCATCTATGTCCTGCAAGAATTCCCAGGCCATCCAAAAAGTCATCCTCTTTTTTGGATTAGCCATTTTGTGAAGCCAGGTGAGCATGCTAACATTGGGCCAAAAACACTGGCTCTCCTGCAGAGCCAAGGATATATCGTTGGTTGTTCATTAGCCATCATGGATTCACAAAAGATGAGCAAGATCTCCTGACATACTGTGTAATGAGTTCTCTTTTTCATTTTGTTGGTCTCCCTGTGCGCATATAACAAGAGCCTACAGTGTGGCAGGCAAAGCTGGATGATATGATCTCACCTAATCTCACAATGGTCCTGAGAGTAGAAATTATTATACTCTGTTTTTAGGTGAGAAACTGAAACTCAATCAGATTAAGTAATGTGCACAGCAGTAGGCAACAAGTCATTGAGGGAGCCCAGACTTGAACCCAAGTCTGTCTGAATACAAAAGCTCTGAGAAGATTTCTGTGTATCTGGAATCCCCTCTTGTATTGCTTGTTCAAATGTTCATGTATTCATTGAACTCCTACCATGTGTCAGACTCTATATTGACAATAGCAATAAATAAATAAAACAGACCAAAAAAAAAAAATCCCTGTCCATAATGACTTATAGGAGACAAATAATGAACAAAACAAATAAGTGACATATCATATATAATGGTAATAAGTGAAAAATAAAGCGGGGCTGGGGGACAAGGATTACTGGGATGGAGGGAATCACAGTTTAAAATACAGTGCTCAGGAAAGGCCTCCTTACTGGGGAGACAATTAGGCAAACAAATGAAAAAGGTAAGTCCCGTCAGAATGTCATTAACTCTGAGGCTCCAAAGGCTCATGGGAGAGTGACTTTTTTTGAAAAGCCATTGTGTCAGGAGACTCAAATTGACCTCAGCAAAAAGTGGGAATGTATTAGCTCAGGGAATTGAAGAGTCCAGGCCAGGCTGGATTCAGGGGTCAAACAATGTCATTAGGACACAACCTACTTCATTTTGTACCTCTGCTTTCCTCTGTGGCGATTTATTCTCGTCTCTACACTGAGGTAGAATGGCTGTCAGCAACCTCAGGCCAACATCCTGCCAGCTACAGACCCAGAAGGAAAGGGAAAGTGCCCGTCTGCCAACAGTCCAAGCAGAAGTCTCATCGCACCTCACCGTGTCTCAGGCCCCTGTGGCCACCTCACTGTGATCAGGAACACATGGCTCTAATTGGCTGGGCTGAGTCACCTGCCCAACCCTGGCGTCAGAAGGGGAGGTAACCTATCAACAGTAACGGAGGGTGGGGCCCCAGTGACATATGGGGTGTTGACTACAGAGAAGAGAAAGCAACAAGTATCCCAAATATCGCTGGTCTAAAAAGAAATTCCTTTATCCCATTGTTTGCTCCATATGCAAGAGATGGTTAAGCATAGACTTCTCCCTAAGAGATTGCCTGTGGACAGTGCAAGCTCATTCAGTGCGACTGGTGGTTTCTGGGGTCTCCTGTGAGCAGCACATTGACAGGATCTCAGGCCTTCGAGGATGGCTGGTTGTGTGGTTTTGGCCTGTGACCTCTTGTGCTTTCTCTGTGGGCTTCAGGGAACCATCCCCAGGGTCAGAAGTTTGTGGCTTTTACTGTCTTGTTCCACTCAGACTGGCTTGTTACCCACTGGGCCTGACAACATGCCAGAGACACAGTCCTGAATCTGAAAACCAAGCCTACTACTTTAGTAGAATCTCAGTGTCTTCCTAGGAAGCTCCATGCTTGTGCTTTGACGTTAGACGGCTCTAGGGATGGATTTTGACTCTATCATTTACCTGCCGTGGGACCTTGGGTAAGTCATGTGACTTCTTGAGCCTCAGATTTCTTATTTGCATAATGAGGTCATTAAATGAGTAAACAAATGGCCATGTATAAAGAAGCTAGTAACAGCCCCACATACAGCAGGAGCTCGGAAAATTTGGTTTTTTTTTCTCCCACTCCTCTGTTCCCTTTTTCCATGAGGCCATTATCAGGCTTCCCTGGAGTCCATGTTATGCAACTTGCAGATAAACCTGCCAAAGAAAAAGAAAAAGAATGAAAAGGATGGGCAAATGAACCCTGGGGCGGAGCTGGGGGATGTGGAGTTAAGGGGAAAATCATAGGTTCTGGAATAAGACTGGGTTTTAAATATAGGCCCCATCACTTGTTACGTAGAAGGCCTTGGGAAAATTGCTTAATATCCCAGAGTACCAATACCTGAAAAACAGGGATTGCTATTTATGGTGGTAGTGAGAATTAATTGAAATCATGTCTGTAAGGAACCTGGCACATAGTAGGCCTTCCATGGCTCTTGGTTTGTTCTCTTTGTTTTCAAAAGTAATTAATACCTGAGTGAGATATGATTGACAAGAAACACACACGAAATGCCTAGAGAAAATTATCTTTTTTTTCAAAACCTGGACTGTCCAGACCTTTGCCTTATTCTCCTCCTGTTTCACTTGTGCAATTTTTTTTCCCTTATGTTGGAGGCTGGGCAGAGGAAATAAAAATAAGTCAACAAAGGCATACTGACAACCTGTCGTGCACAAAGAGAACGCTGTGTTATGGGTGGGAAAACAAATAAATAAAAGATATAATCTTTGAGAAGCTTCTGACCTAATTAGGGGAAATAAAACATGCAAAAAAGGCCATTTAAAACACTCATGAGCAAAATAACAGCCTGTTGACTAAATGCCAAGGTGGACCACGAAGGAGTAAGCACATCTGAGTGTGAAAAGTCAGGAAGGTTTCTAAGGGCAGAGATTCCCAGGGAGAAAGGGCCCAGCAGAAGCCCAGAGGTAGAATGAACAACACTCTCTTGAGTGTGGGATGGTGACCTCACTGACTTATCTGCGCACCAGGAAGGCATTGTGTGCAGGTAATGAGATGGCAAGTCACGAGGCTCTTGGGCAACTGAATGAGGTCAATCCCAAATCGGCATTCTTACCTGTTACTGGCACTAGTAACACAAACAAATCCAGGCTCCCCAAACTGACTGGTTGGAGGAAGAGTTGAAACTCTCATCCACCACAAGATGGGGACCATCCCTATCATCACTGTTTTATGTACGTCTGAATTTTCTGTGCAACTCTTACATAGTAGTGAAGCTACATGTCTCTGGGCAGGGTTGCATTGAACAAGAACTGGAGCTCCATCAGTGCCCCATGTCAGCACAGAACAAGTAACGGTGCCACCTCCCACTGCAGCGTAGATCACTGGATCCTCCACTTCCGCAGCCAAGGACAGGGGATGCTGAAGCTGGTGCTCCTGCCTCTGGACGCTGGTCTGCAGTTTTACGCTCCCAAGCCCATTTTAGCTTCTAAATATGACCTTCCTCTGGGCTCTTCTCGACAGCTCTGACATCATGGCATGATGGGTATGGGCATGGCTCTGTCCCTTCCTAGCTGTGTGAAATTTAGCCAGCTAAACGTAAGGATGATGCTAATAATGATAATCCTCTCCCATAATTGCTGGGAGGTAATTAGTTTAAAAGGCTTTGCACAGTGTCTGGCACGTAGCAATCACTTACTAAATAGTGCTTATTATTACCTTAACTGGTTTGAAATTTGGTGAATTTGGGACACTGTTTTCTCCAGAGCACAAAAGGCAGATTTATGTGGCCCAGAATGGACTGGAGCTTAGGTTAGACCCAGGTGTGATTCTAGCGTTGCGGAATGGAGAATCTTCTGTCTTTAACTTTCTGGTGTAGTTGAATGTCTGAAACACTCTTTGGTAGGAAGGTTCATGGAAAGACTCAGTGGAACAGAGGTCTGTGTGTTTGCTTTTATTTTATTTTATTTATTTATTTATTTTGGAGTATTTGAAGTACAGTTACTTTTTCAAGGCATTGCCTAGAAATGGACTATATATATGTATATACACATCTCTTGTGTATAAACTAATATAAACAGATAGTTTATACCTAAAAATAAACTATGCCATAGTCATTAATTTTCAATATGATGGACTAGATGCCACTAGAGACAGAAAGATTCAATAATGGCTCTACCACATACTGAATGTGTGATCTGGAGAAAGTTATTCAACCTCCTGCCTCAGTTTCTTCGATTGTAAATTGTCATCATTATTCATCTCACAAGGTTGTCATGAGGATTAGATGGGATACCACATGGAGTATGGCTGGCACAGAGATGTTAAAGGAGAGTTTAACTGGGATATAGAGCATCGTTATCAAAGTCTTGGTTTCTTACCCAGTTCTTTTACTCTCTGGGATGGTTTGGAAGGAATTATACCTAAGAGAAAGCCTGCCTGGGGAAGACTTGGTGAGGAAGAGAACTGGTTGGGTGAACAGATTTGATCCTTGATGCAGCTCCAATAAATGTAGTGACAACCGGAAACTTCTTTAGATAAATGATGACAGCCATGCAGCCTGTCTTGGTAGGAGGTTTCAAAATGAATTTCCTCTGCAGAGGTGCTAGGTTGTTTGCTTAGCAGATTGTACTTCTGAGATCCACCCTCTCTCTGAACCACAGCTGATAAGTGGAAGCATCTGGATTCTCCAGGCTCACTGGTCTGGGAGGATGAAAGGGTGGGGTTCTGGGCTGGGACTGAGGACACCTGGAATCCAGCCCCACTCACGGCTGGCCCACAGGCGTGGCACTTCATCTCTGCCTCTCAGCGTCCATGGGTTCACACTGATGTTCTCCAAATTCTTTCCAAGTTCTAGTATTTTATAATTCCACGAATGTGTAATTTGGTTCCTAGCTGAAGAATATGGTCTTAATAGATGAAGGCAATGCCAAAATGAAATTGCCTCATTCCGTTATGAAATGTCTCTGGCTTTCCAAAAGGAGTGGGTCGAGATTCAGCCAGATGAATAATGAGGATAATCAAATATGTCTCTAAATCCAGGATGCAGAGTCTGGTCTTTAATGACTCGGAGGTGATGCCCTCTGCTTCCCTAACAACCCCACCCTCACGGTCTGACCTAGGTTTCCTGGTTGGGGGGAATTGTTCTTGATCTCTGGCCAAGGTTGTTCTCTTGGATTCAGAGCTGGTTTCAAGTCTCTGTCATTCTAGAGAGGCTTTCCTCTGTTCTCAGGCGCCCAGCAGAGGCAGCCCACGCCCTCTCTCCACTCGTACTGAGGATGGATGTGTCAGAGCAAGTCGAGTCATGGGGAAGGCATGAGCTCTCCTACGTGCTCCCCAGACAGGTCCCTCCAGGGCTGTTTCCTATGGAACCAAAGCCAAACAGAGATAGCTCTAAAATTCTACAAAGCCTATTTGTTCCCAGGTGAAGTACATTGTTTGGTGATTAGCATAAAATTGATAGAGGGCCTTTTCTGAGGAAAGCTGCCCAGTGATGAGAACTGGTCACCCTTAATATAACTGGAATATAACTGGGCACTTTCTAGCACAGGCGAGTATGATTGACCATCTCCACATTTTTAAAGCACTTGGCTATTGATGAAGCCCTCTTTGTACGCATTGCATCAATTTAATGGCCTCACAGCAACACTATCTGATGGGTAGTATTAAATCCATTTGACAGATGAGGAACATGAAGTTTAGGCAGACCAAGTTTTGTCCAAAGTCACATAAATAACAAATAAGGACTGATTCTGTGACCTAAACCCAAGTCTTCTAAGCCTGAGTTCAGAGTTCTTAACATTAACACAACAGAACCAGGAAGTCAGCTCAAATCCCCATCCCCACATAAACAGGAAGAATTCTCTGACTCTTTCTTGGTCGCCAATCTCGTGACTCATCGGGCCAATTTGTTTGCCAATATCATGTTTATGGTTGGTTAGTCATTTTTCTGAGAACCTATATGGCTCGGGCTGAAAAGAAATTAAGCAGATAAGATACTGGGGCTGCTCTTTAGAAGTCTACGTTCCGGAGAGGCATTTCGAGTGCGAGAACAATGTTTCATTAATATGTTTTTGGTTTAAAGTGAGAGCAGAATGAGGGGTAAGGGACTCCAGAAAAGTTTTTATAGGAAAAATTGTTCCACCAAGGCAAATTAATGTCATCAATACATTCTTTCATCCATCAAATATTTACTAAGCATCTTTTATGTGTCAAGCTCTGACTAGCAATTGAGGACATGATGATAAATCACATTCAGTCTCCACCATCAAGAAACTTATAGTTCCTGGGGGCCAGGTAGAAATGTCAGTAAGTCATTGCAAACAGAGCGGGTGATAAGTGCTCCAGAAGAGACACATGTGGAAAGTTTTGTGGTGCACAGAGTCAGAGAAGAGGTGATATATTACCCAAACTGTAAGGGATTAATAAAACGTGCCAAATAAATAAGAAGGGCATGATCATTTGAGAAAATCAGCAGCAGCAGCACCACCACCACCATATAATTACCTCCTATGCAGCAGACGTTGTCCTAAGCATTCTGTACGCATTAACTTATTTGACGCTCACAGTAAACGACACTGTTATTACCCGCCTTTTTCAGATCAGGAAAATGACCAGAGAGATTAGGTGGCTTACCCAAAGTCACCCAGCTAGTAAGTGGCAGAGTCAGGATTTGAACCTGTGCCATCTGACTCCAGAGATCACGTGGTTGGCCGTGGTGATTCCTAAAGCGGAAGGAACGACAGGTGCAAAGAAGAGGAGGGGTGTGTGTGTCGGTGTGAAGAATTAGGAGCATTTCAGCATGGCTGGAGCATGGGACACCAATTATGTATACACATTGCTCTCCAGCCTTTTATTCTGTACCCTTCTCCTGTTTTCTCACCATTCTCTCCATATAGTACTGTTAATGGTTTGAGTTTTTGAACAATACCAGCGATGCAGGCTTGGGCTCCATGTTAATGCATGTTAATGGTTTGAGTTTTTGAACAATACCAGCGATGCAGGCTTGGGCTCCAAATCTGAAAAAAAAAAAATGCTAGCTCATGGTTACAACCTCTTAGAGATGGGGTATTTTTTTCTTCTCTTTCCCCTGGCTCTGATGTCGCCACAAAGGTGAGGAGGTGTCTGTGGAAACCCTGGTAATCCCTGACTTCTGTCTTCTTGCTTCAATAAGCCATTAAAACCACAGTTCAGTTTTGCAGCTTGGAAAATCCAAATTGAAAAATGCCTTCACAGGAAGGGTGGCTTTGATGTTCTGAGTACTTCTCTGAGTTCTTGCTTTCTCCTTGACTTGGGCCTGGAATTTCTTACCATCTTGTCAGCAATTTGATGTTCTTGTGAAGATCAACAGAAAAACTATCCAGCGTGCTTAGTTATTTTCAGCAGGAGTGTCGATCTAAATTACTAGTCTTTAAACACAGGAAATTCAAAGTTCCAAGACTCATCCAACTTTCACAACAACCCTGTGATGTAGACACAATCAACCTGATTTTTCCAATGAGGCAAATATGATTCAGGGGGTTTAAATGACTTACAAAAGGTCACACAGCTGACAGATGATGGGGCCAGGATTCTAACCCAAGTTTCTTTAACTTTAATTCACACATCTTGCTCTCCCACCACATTTCCAGGTTCACTATTCACTAGCTGCGTGACCTTGGGGAAGTCACTTAACCTCCCTGTGTTTAAATTTCCTCATTTGCAAAATGAAGATAATGACAGAATCGACATAAAAGAATTGTGCAGATGAAATAGGTGCCTACATGTAAAGCATTTATAGCTACATCATGCACATAGAAAGAACTTAACAAACGCTTGTAGTTCCTAACGTTATTATAATTCTCTAGGGAAATCAAACTTGTCTAGAGGCTGGAAGTTTATGACCTATTTAGAGAAAAATACTTGCCAATCTCTCTCCTCTTATTTATTCATTCACCATTTATAGGCAACCTTCAGTGTGTAAGGGCTTCTACACAGTGTACACTTAGGCTGTGCAGAGCTTTGGGCCAAGGCCATGGGTCTGTCCACACACTGGAGTTCTAGTTTCCAGCAGAGGAGTTACTTCCTCTCTGGTCTCTAGGGTAAGAGAGGAGGCCTGTGTGAGTAAACCGTTTTGGAGTTACAGTGTGTATTGATCATATTTCCTATTCTCTTCTCCTGTTTCTGAAGTCTTGCTTCTTTCAGTCTCCAGCTATTAATACACAGTGGCCACCTTCCAAAATGGGGGTTACTATTGTGGAGGTTCTGCCACCAGACCCTTTCATTCCCCAAATTACAGGAATTCTAAAGCATTAGTTGATTGCCTCTTTCTTCTTCTTCTTTTTTTTAAAATGTCATCTAGGCCTTTAGAGACTACCAGACCCTCTCTGAAAGATGACAGGCCACACCCAGCAAAGCCAGAGATTCATCCATCAGATGAATAGTTGATTAACCACAAATATGCGTCAAGCACTTGCCATGTGTACAGCACTTCAGGTTGGCACCAGGGAAGAAGTGAAGGCAACCATGACACAGCCCCATGCAAAGGTAAACAGAACAGTAGCCCATAAATAACAGTTTCGCTTAACAGGAGAAGACTGTCATAAGGCAGTACTGGGGTGCAAGGCAAATGAAATAGTGATCCATGCTGAATGCAAGGAATTCAGAAGGGAAAGAGGGAAGCGTGCACATACGTGCATCTGTGCGTGCTTTGTTATGGGTGTCGGCGTCCCACTGGGGAGGCAAGTTGAGTGAGAACACTGTTCATGGGATAAGAGGTGGGTCAGGGTGCAGGAAATACAAGGAAGGCCCAGAGGCAATATATCCAGTTAGAGCACAGAGATTCTAGGGGTAGAGCCAAGGTCATATTAAGTATTTAATGTGAAGGATGAGTCAAGGCAACCCGTGTGAAATCAAGCAGTGGCCACCCTGACTTTGTTTATTTCAACCAGTTGGCCCACCTACACACCACATCAGACAAGTTTAATTAAGGTCAGATCAGAGGAATGGCTAATATTTAAGCACTGGAATCAAATTCAACTTTATCTCAGTTTTCCTCTTTAAAACCTGCTCCCTGTGGGCTACTAGCTTGCTATCCAGTTTTTCAGGGGTGTGGCGAGTCCCGAAGGCATCAGCACTTTTTCTCAAACTGTTGGCCTCAAGCGATCCTCCTGCCAGGGCCTCCCAAACTGCTGGAATTACAGGCATGAGCCACTGTACCCTGCCATCAACACATCTTGTAATAATCACCTAGAACCCTTCACTCTTGCCCTTGAGAATGGGAAAGTGAAAGGCCTCCTAATTTAGAGACCTACTAGACCGTGAAACAAAAGGGTCAGCTTCTGGTCATTGAAAAGAAACTGAACCCAACCACGCTTGTTCTGGCCCCTGAATCCTGAATGTCCTACAGCTTGTTTCTGTTCTCATTCTGTTTCCTTCTGGGTCTTCATTCCCTTACATGAGGTCTTGCCCCTAACCATTGGACCTGGATGAAGTGAAGCATAAGGAAGGGGTTGAAGAAAGTGGTTAAGAACTAAGGACAACAGCAAAAAAAAGGTTCATTCTCTGTGGTTCCTGGCATGCATTGTAGAAGTGGGCGTGGCTTTTTAAAGTATTGACTGGGTTGGACCATTTGTCAGTATAAAATGGCATAAAATAGTATTGATATGTTTGTTGCGTTTACATTTTATCAAGATGTGATCTAATTGAAGTCTTTTTTTTTGAGACAGAGTCTCACTTTGTTGCCCAGGCTAGAGTGAGTGCTGTGGCGTCAGCCTAGCTCACAGCAACCTCAAACTCCTGGGCTCAAGCGATCCTTCTGCCTCAGCCTCCCAAGTGGCTGGGACTCCAGGCATGTACCACCATGCCCGGCTAATTTTTTCTATATATATTAGTTGGCCAATTAATTTCTTTCTATTTATAGTAGAGACTGGGTCTCACTCTTGCTCAGGCTGGTTTTGAACTCCTGACCTTGAGCAATCTGCCCGCCTTGGCTTCCCAGAGAGCTAGGATTACAGGCGTGAGCCACTGCGCCCGGCCTAATTGAAGTCTTTAGTACTAATAATTTCATTTTTCTATTTTACACATCATTCTGTATAAAACACGGATATCGTTGCAGACCTAGTTGCTCTGTATTTCTTAATGTCTCCAGTTAGTGGTTGTGAGGTGTCATCAAGCCACTTCTTTCTTGTGTTACTTTGAGAGAAGGGATGAGGGAACGAAAATAGCAGGATGAGCAATGGAAAAAGGAGGGAGCAGGGTTTTAACCTTGGTCCCCAAGAGGCAGCAAAGGAAAAACAACCCACAAAGCAAATGAGAAATCCAGAAAGTCATTGAAAGGAGAGGGAAACGCCTCAGGAAATGCAAGAGAAAGCAAAGGCAGAGGAGAGGAAATAGATAGAGCCTGACAGTCCCAGGCATGGGCACTAATGGGACTGGGATAGTCCCAATGGGAGGTGGAGGCATTTTCCAGAAAGATTAAAGCCGGTCACTGCTGGAGACAAAAAGGATGTTGGAAGTAGAGGACATCATGAGATGACTGCTCTGCCATGGTCCACGTACTAGGTGCCAGCTGCAGTGAAGTCCTTTGAGTAGGAGCTAAGAACGGAAACTGATCCTCTACATGGCAGACGCATACTGCAGAGCCTGGAATTAAATCCAACACGGATCCCTTAAAGAAACACAAAGCAGTGTACGGAGGTACAGAGGTACATTTCCAACAGCTGCCTGGGTGTTCAGGGTTGCAGCTGGGCTGAGCTGGGGGTCTCTGTAGATTCAAATGGACCGAGCCTTTGACCACAAAGGAGAAGGGAACGGGAATTTGTTGAGCACCACAACAATGCCATGAAGAGGATCCTATTACCTCCACTTCACAGGTGAGCGAAGAGATGGAGCATACGGTGACAATACATTATTCATCCCTGCCCAAGGTCACGCTGCGCAGGAGTGTGACGCTGGGATTTAAACCCCAGCCTTTCCATCCCCAAGCCTTACCGCTTACATCATGCTGGGCACTGTTTCATTTTTTGAAATCTCACCTAGGGCTAACTTCTTTATATACTTTCTCTGAGCTATAACAGGATCCAGCCATGTGCTTAAGTGTCAGCATGTCAGCATTTCAAAAACTGCCACTTCCACATGACCCTAACACCTAGAGCTAAAATTGGACGGGAGCTCAGAGCCCAGGCATCTCTTTCCTTTCCTGATGATTTCATGGGGTGGTGGTGCGGCAGGGAGCCCTGAGTGGGTAGAGTCCAGATTAGGAAATATATCCTTAACTGGCACTTTGGCTTGTGCTCATGTATTTCTTTCCTTATGTCCATAACCTTATTTAAGAAATATAGACCCCGGAAGAGGAAACACAGTCCATAGGTTTTTCCTTCTGTTATTTGGAGGAATTATGTGATACAATTACTTTATATCTTTGTTAAAACATTTTATTATGTCTTGCATCTGAAATTATTTGAGACTAGAAGCATTTTTAATAAAAAATCAGCTGTTCAGGAGGAGGTAACTAATATTCATTGTGAGCCTGTTATGTGTTGGGTGCTTTAACTGTATTTATTATACTTTGGGAGGAAGGTATTTACTATGCTTACTTTATAGATAAGAAAACCGAGGTTCAGAGATATTATAAATAGTAGGTGGCAGAGCTGGGATTTGAACCCAAGGACACTTAAATCTTGACTGGGCAGCATGTCAGTCTTTAAGAAGGAAGTGTGGGAATTAAAGGAGGTAAAATCTTTAAGGAGCTTAGAGCAGTAACTAACATAGTAGGCCTTAAATAAATGTTAAGTATTGTTCCTGGCCTTATGACTACTGGGAGACCATCTGTACAACTATCTTTTAAAGAGAATTTCTGATATATTAGTTCCTCAAAGACATCTGGCAGATGGACTAATACTTGGAGATACGACAGTGATTATTATTCTGAGGACAACACTGGCACGTTACATTTGCAGAGTGATTTAGTGTCGTTTCCAATGTGTCTCCATTCTTAGGGCGCAAAGACAGTCATACAGGTTTGCAGAAAGCTATCGGTTTGTCCTTTCATAGACAAAGGCTGGAAGGAAAGATACAGGAATTGTATGAGTCCTGCCTGCCGGTGGCAGTTTTACAAAGGCAAGGCAAGCTCGGGCCTTCCTTGTGATTAGCAGAAAACAGTCCTGGGTCAGAGATAAGAGACAGACAGGCTGAGTCAGTAGAAGAAAGTTGGCCTGGAACTCTATCTGATGAAACGTTCCTGAAATTGGTGAAGAGGTTCAGGGTGAGCTTATTACTGAAGACAAGTCTCATTAAGGTAAGATCAGAGGAACTGCTAATATTTAAGGACTGCAGGGTCAAATTTCATCTCAATTTTCCTCCGTAAAACTTGCCCCATGTGGGCTACTAGCTTGCTATTCTACTTTTCGGGGGTTTGGAAAAGTAAGTTACATTTTGGTCATGGTACCCCACACTCTTTGTGTGTCTCTGCTCATGCTGTGCTCATGCTGTGTGCCTTCCCTGCCTTGGCCCCTCCTGCTCACTCTGCAGGACTTACTGTAGTGCCTAGTTCCCCATGGAACCTTCCTGAACTGCTCCTCTCCCTCCTCCGCCCTACTCTGGGTTAAGTGCTCCTCCTCTGAGCTGGAGGAGACCCCAGGCATACTTCTCTACCTGTTTCATACCTCTATCGCTTTGAAGTTATCTTTTTTCCTGCGTTGAAAATATTTATGTGTCTGAGTCTCCTTTTAGACAGAAGCACCTGGGCCTTACGTCTTCATCAACATAGTGGCTGGTATGCAGTGGGCGCTCAAGAAAGAGGACTCAAACTGACATGCCTCCAAAACAGAATGAACCAGTCTTTCAGTTAACCAAGCAGATGGTTGTCAAAATCACATGACTATTAAAAGCAAACTATCTTTACTTTTTTTTTTTTGAGACAGGGTCTCACTCTTTTGCCTGGTTAGAGTGCAATGGTGTCATCATAGTTCACTGCAACCTTAGTCTCCTGGACTCAAGCAATCTTCCTGCCTCAGCCTCCCGAGTAGCTGGGACTACAGACTTGTGTCACCATACCTGGCTAATTTTTCTATTTTTTTGTAGAGATAGGGTCTCACTATGTTGCTCAGGCTGGTCTCAAACTCCTGGGCTCAAGTGATCCTCCAGCCTCTGCCTCCCAAGGTGCTAAGATAATAGGCATGAGCCACCACCACACCTGGCTTTTTGGTTTTGTTTTTTGTACTCTCCCTAATTGCTGAATCCTATTTTGAGGGATAAAAAGATAAAAAGACATTTGGAAATGACAAAATTACCACACATGACAACAATGAAAGTTTGGGTGATAGATTTTATCTCTCCCAGAAGTAGACTTCCTTGAGCCTATCTAATGTTGCCACTGATTCATTAAATGTCTCTTTAGGTCAACAGCCAGAAATGGAGATAGATCCTGACTTCCACAGCAGCAGGTTACCTCTAGCAGGTCTTTTTTCCAGTTCTAAACTGGGATCCAATCCTGTTGTAGGCCACGGTATGCAGGATTTGAACTTCCTTGGCACAGGAATGAAAGATTGTGATCCAGTTGGTAGCTGAAATTCCATGTTTATGCAGAAGAACATCTGAAGATTTTGTCTCCAGTGCAGCCCGGTTACGGTCACGCTCGGTATTTAAAGAATGAAGCGAAGCAACCACGGAAAGAGATAAAATGGCAAGAACTCTCCGTCCAGAGTCTGTGTAGTTGTTTCAAATCCGAATAGGCTTCATAACTGGAAAAGGAAAATAAGAAGAGAGAGGTTGGGGGTGGGGACAGAGATATGAGCATTTATCTACCAGAGCTGGCATGGAATCAGTGGTGTGTCAGCTTTGGAGTGGAGGGAACATAAACTATTTAGAACAAGATACATGTGGGCTCCTGGCCCTGGCATGTGCTAAATGATGTTGGCACAAAGTTATTCATTGCAAAATTGTTTATAGCAGCAAAAGATGGGGAACAACCCAATGTACCCCAGTAGAGGACTGCTAAATTAGCTTATGGTTTGTCCATACAAAGGAATAGTGCGTAAATGGAAAGGAATGAGGAAGCTCTTTATGTGCTGGTATGGAAAGATTTCAAGATACATAAAGAGAAAAACGCAAGGCCATGGGACAGTTTGTATAATATGCCATGTTTTGTGTAAAAATGGAAAAGAATAAGAACATGTACTCTCTTCACTGGAATACACATAAAAAAATGCTAAAAGTGTACAACAAGGAACAACTGAGGTGGTTACTTGTGTATGTGGTGAGGAAGACAGATGGGGGAAAGTAGATATTTGGGGGTCAGTGGGACGGGAGAGCATACCTTTCTATGCTTTTTATTTTTGAATCATGTGACTGTATTATGAATTTATAAATCAAATCAGAAAAGGACAGTTGTTCTTCCACCTTGTTATCAGTTGACCCTGGCAAGTTATCTAACACCTCCCAATCTCAGTTTGGACAGTAGGGAAATGGGGATATTTATATGTGTCCCCAGGTCCCTCACTGATGGCACTAGCCTAGTGCCTGGGGGAATAGATGCTGGCAAACGTGGGGTCGTTGTCCCTCCCCATGGCAGGGCCAGGGTCTCTCTGCCCTGGGCAGGATTGTGATCCACCTGCTCCCATTCCTCAAGAAACACTTCAGAGGCAACTTTCTCCAGCTTGCCTTGTCATGAATGCGAACGCTCACTCCCATAAAACATGCCCAGTGACCTCAAAAGTTCAAAAGCCTCTGAACACGCCTCCTGGAGGCGGAGCAGCCTCTAGAAACCTGTTTCCTTCTTCCCCTTGGGTGATTTCTCCCAGTGCAGCTCCTATTACAGAGTCAGCTCTCACCCAGCCTCCTGGGGAGCAGCTTTCAGAATCCAAGAGAAGTGAGGGGGGACCCTCCGGAGTCCTGTTATCAGGGAACCTAAACTTCTGCCCTGGGGGAGGCCTGGTAAGAGTCCCAGGAGGGGCTTACGGGGCCAGCCGGGCCTCTCTCTAACCGCCAGGCTGGCATCTGCTCTCCTGCAGGCTGTGCAGACAGCCCCAGGCAGCGCGTGCGGATGCGGGGAAAGAACAGAGCGTTCCGGGCTGAACAAAGCCAGCTGCGGACTTGCTCCGGCCCTTTCGTCCCCTCGGCGAAGGGACCAAGCGCGGCCTCTAGCGGCCGCTCCTACGCACGCTCTCCGCAGTTCTCAGACTCGGTGGGACTCGCTCATCTCAAACTAGGCCACAGTCCCGCAGCGTGACCCTGTCCTCTGAAAACCTTCGCCAGGCGGAGTCGTGGCCGGCCCCGAGGGCAAGTGCGTGAGTCAGGCTGGACCTGCAGCCCATGCAGCTCGGATCCAGAATTCAGGACCAGCTCGAGTTCCCTCCCCAGTGAGCCCACCTTCTTAACACACAATGCATGCAGAACTCCTCCCCCAGCTCCTCAAGCCAGGCCAACTCTCCGCCTCCAGTCCTGTCCCCCTTCCCACCTCAATTACCCTGGGCTGCCAGGGGGAACTTCATCTCAGACAGCGGCTGGCAGCCTTGGTGGCTGCGTTCTTTGAAGCTCCTCTGCACAGACCTGGAGACCTAGTCTTTGTTGGATGAATGAAACCATTCACTGGGTGGATTGAGAGTGGACCTGAAGCTGAACCTGACCCATTCACCTTAACCTATCTTCTAGGTTGTTTAAAAACTTATAAACATCAACTCTTTTCTTGTTACAAATGTTGGTGTTGTGGAATGCTGTGTTAGAAATACTGGTCACATCACTCCATCTGCTTTCATGGAAGATCAGTATAAATTCTCTGTGCCCTACTGAAAAAAACAAACACTTGAGCTCTCATTGGATACATGAAACTGTTTCAGGGGCTAGGCACTGTGTTTCCTCTAACCCAAGGTGGATCCCTTTAGGGCAATTAAAAGCCTATAACATGGTATTTACTTTTTTCCTTCAAATTTCTGTTTTCTATATTACAAGCTACCATCCACAGAGGGTCATAAATCCCCTGGAGAAGTCATATGTTATACCACGTGGTTGCCTTTGCATCTGTTTTGCAGCTGTTCACTTTGCAGTTTTTATTCTGCCTTTTGGAAACCCTAGAGCAGCTTCTCAAACGTTAATGTGCATACGAATCACTTGGGGATCTTGTTAAAATGCAGATTTTGAGTCAGGAGGTCTGGGGAGGGCTGGGGTTCTACAGTTCTAAGGAGAAGCCAGGTGGTGCCAATTCTGCTGCTCTGGACACCACACTCAGAGCAGTGAGGTCATTGAATAATAGGAACAAAAGGATTGTGAGAACACTCACCAGCAGCAGTGAGAAGCAGCAAGGCTGTGGGGAGAGCGGTAGGAGGAGTTTTCCTTGGTGATTCTGATCCAGCCTTTTCCTCACCCTTACACTTTCCCTTTTCTTGTAAATTTCCTTAACTGCTGTCTTTCTGGGTTGGAGAGAAACTGTGAGAGCAAAGCCAACAGCCACGTTGTTACAGGATTTGTGGGTAGCGTCTTATGCTACTTCAGGTCTTCTGGGCTGGAAGAAAACAGAAAGGTACTGCAGCCACCTGTAACTGAAACCAGTGTGACCTCCATACTCTGCACTGTGTCAGCATCTGGAAACAGACCCTAAGCCAATGGCTTCAATTCCCTCAACTTTCTTTTGCTAATGTGACAGAGGCAGCAGGCATCTGCAAGGAACTATCATATAATCTGCTGCCTCACCTTTCCCTGCACTGTGCTCCAAGGCAGGGTTTCTCCACTACAGCACTATTGACACTTTGGGCTGCATAATTGTTGGCCTAGGGAGAGGCCAAGTGTCCTACGCAATTTTATGATCTTTAGCAGCCCCTCTGGACTCTACTTACTAGATGCCAGTTAGCACCCCTCAATTGTGACAACCAAAAATTTCTCCAGACATTGCCAGATGTCACCTTGGGGGCCAAAATTGCCCCTGGTTGAGAACCACCACTGTAGGATAGGATCAGGTATAGTTTGTCAGTTCTACTGAATGCCCACCGTCCTCAACATTACCTATCTTCCTTTTCAAATTCCATCTTATTTACCACTTTCTTAGCAGAATGTTTCTAAGTGGGACACCACCAGGTAAAACTTCCAAATAACTGAAGCTAAGGCATTGGGTTTGTATTCTGTGTGGATTCTAATTGATTAGTCCTGGCTACTAGAGACACTGGGTTGATAATGATTCTGAGGCTGCCCAGGTCTACCAGGGGTCTAAGTGCAGGTACAACGTGTGGGTGCCATTATGCTTGCCATGGTTGGTCCCTTTTCAAACTGTAAATTGCCATCTTTCCTTGCACCCCAATATTCAGTTTGCTCTCCATGGGCCCCTAGGTGTGGTCTGATGGAAGTCACGTTGGCCGTGGGGTCTAAAGATTCAAATTGGAATCCCAGCTATGCCACTTACCATGACCTTGAATGAGTGGGTTGATTTACTTTCCCCTCAGCTTGGAAGATGGGCTGTTCATTCCCAGCTCATAAGGTGTGTGTGAGGATTAGAAGAGATGACAAATGAAAGCATCTACATAGCACCTGGCTTATGGGGAGTGCTCAATCGTTTATGTATGTTTACACAGCCCTTATTTATTCATCCAATACGTAGGTGATATCGATTTGGGGGCAGAGAATATGATCCTAATCCGAGCACTTGGACAATTTCAGAAGATGGAAATAGGGCCCTTACAAGGCTTGTCCAGGAGAAAGGAAAGCGCTGGGAAGATTGGGCCAAATAGCCTCTCAAAACAAGGGTTTATTTGGAAGCCTTCAAACTGGCTCCCACTGAGGGAAGAAATATCTCTATTAGTAGAGATGGCTCATTAGGGAAGCCCTAAGGAGCTCTCAAAGTGTGGTCCTGGACCAGCAGCGTCAGCATCACCTGAAATCACAAAAGGACAGCCCCTGGACCTCCACCGCTTTGTGGGCAGGGTACTCAGGCCTGCACTCAGAGTCGTTTTCTCTTAGACTTGGTTCTCACAAACTATTGACTTTTTCTTTCTTAATCCATAGCAGAGAAGCAGCAGCAAATAAGAAGAGGTGAAGCGGAGCTATTAGAAGTTGGACCAATGAAGGTAGAAATAAGGTGACAATGGAAAAAGGATGAAAAAAAAAAACCCAAATGTCAAGTCTGCACTTGGGCAAACAGCAACATACCTCCTCAGTGTCCTGTGGGTATTACTTAATATTCTAAAAGTATCTATAATGTTGGCCTAGAATTATCAAGAGAAATTTCAACCATGTTTTATGTTTTGTTTAAAATTGCAAGAAGGCATAGACTTCAGAAAGATTTTTGTTTGTTTGTGTGTGTGTTTGTTTATTTGAGACATGGTCTCTCTTGCCTGGCTAGAGTGCAGTGGTGTGATCATAGCTCACAGCAACCTCAAAGTGCTGGGCTCCAGCGATCCTCCTGCCTCAGCCTCCCAGGTTGCTGGTACTACAGGCACTCGCCACTATGCCTGGCTAAGTTTTTTTTGTTTTTTGTAGAAATGGGGCATTTCACTATGTTGCTCAGGCTAGTCTCGGAACTCCTGGCATCAGGTGATTCTCCGACCTTGGCCTCCCAAAGTGCTGGGATCACAGGCATGAGCCACCACACCTGGAAGATTATTTTTTTTTAAATAAAAAATACACTTCAAATAAAGTTTGAGTACTTTAAGGCGTTAGCTTTATTTATTTGGGAATTTCACTTTGTGGCATGCTTCCTTCCCCAAGAATAACTTGTTAGAGGTCATGAGCCATGCCCATACTTGTTTCCACTCCTATTGGAGCACACTGTAAGAACTCAATGAGTTAATGTTGGTTGATTAAGCTTCTTTGTAGGCATTGGGGGGGAAAATAGGGTAAACTCAATTGTTCTGTAATCATCGTGCTGTTCCCACCCTGCACAATTATTGCTTCTGTCTTCAAAGCCAAATGTTCCTTGCTGATTTTCTGTACTGTTTGCTTTTTTTCTTCTTTGGAGAAAATGAAATCTATGCATGGAAAGCAACCTTGCTGAGAACATTTGTTTCTTTTCTATATTGTCTCTCCATGGCGCTGAAGTCGCCTGCTAGCTCCCTTCAGGTATTAATCATACTTACAGATCTTCAGGAGTTAAGTGAATTTCATCCCTTTGTGACCAGCTATGAAAATCATTGATTGTATCAGGGATTGGCTATCTGTTGAGTTGACTTATTAGGGAAGGCCTAATGAGTTCTCTGAGCCTGGTCCAGGGACCAGCAGCATCAGTATCACCTGGGAACTGGCAGAAATGCAGAATTCCAGGCCCCACTCAGACCTGAATGAGAAACACAACGGGGTGGGGCCCAGCAATCTTGGTTAACAATATCAGCCCTCTAGGTGATTCTGATGCTTGGTCAGATTTGAGGTCATGCTCTAGAGAACCATCCTTCATCCATCTCACCTCTCACTGCAGTGCAGGAGGAGTGGGGGACAGGTTGTTCTCAGTTCAGAATATTTGGACTATAAAATCCAGAGAGATAACTAAACTCAGATAACTAAACTTTGTAGAAAGAGCACAGGCTGAGATAAACCTGGATCTAAGTTCTGACGCTGCCACTTATTACCTACATGTCTCTCAGTGTAGCATTAATACACCTAAATATTATTAACCGTTTTGTCACTCAGTGTCCTTAATACTTTCCTGGAAGAGCTGTCCTGAAGACAGAATGAACTCATGTGTATAAAAGCACCTAGTACAAAACTTAACACAGAAAAGGCTAAATGTTAGGTCCCTTGCCCTGATGTTGGTTAGGTACCAGAAGTGTTTCCACCTGGAAAAAATAATAACCACATTCATGCTCAGAACCAAATATATCTATACCATTTTACTGTAGGTATGTTATGGGTTAAAAACAAACTTAATAGGCTTTTATGTGCTGGCCTGGGAACTTTATTGTCCATTTATTTCACCAGTTAGTAATGCCTTTAAAAAGTACAATACAATTTCCCTATGGGGAAATATATTCCAAGTTCCTAAAAGGTAATTTACACATAACTCTTGTGACATGCTCTATTCATTAGATGTTTCTATGCATATATTATATCTTTAATGTAATCCAGACAGTTAAACTTAAGGAGCCAGGGATTTGGAAACTGCATAAAATGAGTGCCTTTCTTCAATACTAATAAGTACTCTTTGTAAGTAAGTAAAACTCAAAGGAAAGCACAGTTGTGACTTGTTTTTGGTGCTAACTATGCTTAGCTGAAAACAAAGTTGTCAGCCATTAGGGCAAAGCAGGGCTGACTGGTGGCACAGAGGTAAAGTGGAAACTCACATGCAGTTTGAACACCCATTTGGCCATGAAGCCAAACCCATTGACTGCAGGGTAAATCCTCACTGAGCATCCTGGCACCTCAGTAGCCACATCATATGGTGGCTTTGGTGCTGTATAGATTAAGGGCAAAAGCTTCAGGTCTTTGAAATGAAACTTTCATATTTTCTACCAAAGAGGAAGTGGGCATATTGTGAGAAGAGACCTCAACTTTTGTTCAAGGTCCATGATAAGTTTTCTCCTCCTTCAAACTGGCTGGTGAAAATGTAAATGGTTGTTTCTCAAGGATACTGCAGATTTACCTGAGGCAGTGTGGTAGAGCAGGTAGTGTATGCCTGTGGGGCAGATATGTCAGTGGCCCTGGCCTTACATCTTGCATTGAATCTGATCTTGAACAGGTCATGCAACACTTTTCAGCCTAAGTTTTAGCTTCTGTAAAGGAGTAAAAATAGTGATATTCAACTTTCCTAATTCACAGGGCTATTGCAAGAACAAATGAGATGCTGTATATGAGCATCTTACCCATGTCTTTGTGGGCATGGAGTATTTAGCCAGAAAAAATCTTAGGAAGGCTGCAAGTGGACCTTTTTGGCCACAGGGGGCCCTTTTGATAGTGGAATGAATAGGAAACAACTATAGATGGAATGAACCTGAATAATGGGGAGATTTTTCCAGCCAATGTTTAATCTAGAAGTTCCATTTTTCTACTTACAGGGAAGGACTCTCTGTAGCTGGAGAACGTGTGCCTATGCGTTTCTCACAGGTGTGGAACTTTTTAGCAGTTAATGGGAACAAATTAACTAGAGCCATACAAATACAGTTGAAGGATCTGAACTTGAAAAACTGTAAACAACAAAGCCATATGGAAGTGATGGTTGTCCTGTCACTCACAACTGTCCTTTACCCATCCTGGCAGAGATCTGGAGGTTTAGTCTCCAAGGTTTAGCCTTTGGATTGGATACTTCAGACATGTTTGTGGGTGTGAGCACACCACCAGTGAACACCATACCAAAACCAGGGATCAACTGCCTGTGTGCACACTAAATTAGAATGAAGGGAATCATTTCCCTACTCCTCTGGTTGGCTCCCAAACAATGGAACCAGATCTCTTACCTCCCAGCTGGAGGCTGGAAGGCTCTCCTTTGAGAAATTGATTAGTCCAAGAGGAAAGACCTAAATATACTGACATCAGGATTTTATCCCAACAGGCACCATCCATATAGGCCTACAGTGGAGGTCAAAGTCAACAAAGCTCATCATATGCTCAAATCAGATTTTCTTCTCTACTGGTTATTATGAGTAGATGGCCAAGAAGTACTAGTTATCTGAGAAAAGTCTCTAATATGATAGGTTGAGATGAAAAAGCAAAAAAACAACAGCTTAGAGAATACACAGACAAGAGAGGGAGAAAAAAGTAATAAAAAAGAACCTGTTAGTAAAATGCTCAGAAGGAAAGGAGAGGACACACATCTATGAAAAAAGAACAAGATGCTGTAAAAAAAATATTCAGAGGATAAAAATGTGCTTCTGGGAATGAAAAAGATGATACTAGAAATTAAAAATTCAATGGAAGAAAAGAAAATCACCCAGAAAGTAGAATAAAACATATAGAAATGGAAACTAGAACAAAAATGTAAGAAAGTTGAAGGACCAAGAGACCTACTATCTGAATAACATGAGTTTCCAGAGAAATAAAAGGAGAGGATTTCATCAAAGAATTCAGGAAAAATTCTCCAAATAGAAGAGCATGAGTTGCCAGATTGGAAGCATCTGTTGACTTTACAGCAAAATAGGTAAAGGTAGACTTACAATAAGGCACATGTTGTGAGACTTCAGAACACTGGAAACAAATGAAAGTTTTTACAAGCTTCCAAAGGGAAAAATATGAGAAATACAAAGAACTGGGAACAAAAGTGGCTTTGGACTTTTTCAATAGCAACTTTGAGGGCCAGAGGATAATAGAGCAGTGCCTTCAAAATCCTGAAAGAAAATTATTTCCATCCTAGAATTCTATACCCAAGCCATCATTTTAATTTAAGAGTTCAAAAACTACACTTTCAGTCTTGCAAAATCTCAAAAACTTTGTCTCCTGCAGCCTTTCTCAAGAAGCTTATCTCAAGTAGGATGTACTCCACCAAAAATAAGGGAACAAACCAAGACGGAAGGCGGGTGGGACAGAGGAAGTAGGAGATACAGTTAGCAAGGAGAGTGTCTGGCACAGGATGAGAAGATCCCAGAATGGATCTGCACTTGCACAGTGACCAACTGGTGCAGACTGGAGGAGTGGCCTCTCCAGACAGGTTGAGTGCTGCCATCAACAGGTTCCCCACTGTTGTTTACATTTCTTTCAACTTTAGGACAGCATATCTGGTTTTCATATTATCTTCTTAACTGGGCTTGTCTTGACCACATATTGCTGAAATTCCTACATGTGCTGCTGGTTAGATCTACTGGGGAAATCCGTTTTACCCTGCAGAATTTTTCTGTTTTCACTTAATTCAGCGGCTAGACAATGAGGGCTCAGGCCATGGCGAGTTTAGAAGCAGGACATACTCAGCAGTGCCTCCAGAATGCTAGACGTCCTGCACCTGACCCATACTGCAGTCCTACCAGCCGTGGCAAGCCCTGTGTTTCCCAGGACTGGCTGACATGCCCTGGCCCTATGACTTCACCAGCAGGGGCTTTCATAAACACTCAGGGAAGCTAAAGCCAGACTGTGACCCGGGGACTTCTGTTCCACTTTCCTTTCCTTGGAAGCCCTTCATCTAAAACTGGTGACAATGCTTGTGCCTTACATG